AATAAATAAATAAATAAATAAATAAATAAATAAATAAATAAATAAATAAATAAATAAATAAATAAAAAACCAGAAATAAATGAATATATAATATTAATTGACTGAAGTGTAGTTTGCAAATAAGTGGGATTCAAATAAGGGGGTGTTTTGGAGAAGGAAGTTCTTTCTACAGCCCACATCATATTACCTAATTATGGCAGAACCATTGCATCTGCATTGTTCTAAGGATGGAATGTTAATTTTTAAATATTCATTTTTGGGGAATGAATTGGGGGATTAGTGCATTGAAATTGTAAAAAAATTGCAATAACTCTGTTTCAGGGAGGAATGGTTATATTTACAGTGAACTTTATGCAAACATCTTGGTATCATATTGATTTTTTTCATTCCTTGTTTAACCGGATTTTTTTGTGTGTAATTGCCTTCTTAGTTTGTTGCCATTAGAGAACAATGTTTTTTTGTTATGCATTTCCTGATTTTTTTTTCAAGGTAGAAAGTCTATTATCAAAGAAATTATACTTGGCCCTTTGCAAAGCTATCAGTGAGAGGGAATAAACAGAATTGCTTTGGACAACAGGACTATTATTACAAAAGAATACATTTGGAATATAATTCACATATCTTATTTCTAATTCCAGGATTTGTTTGGAAAATCTGATCCTTATTTGGAATTTCACAAGCAAACGTCTGAGGGAAAATGGGTGATGGTGCATAGGACAGAAGTAAGTGTCATTTTCTGGGTTTGGTTATTTCATATCACAGCTTATTTCATCTTTAGTTCTGACTTCTGAAACTTTGCAACTAAATTCTGAATAGATAGCTCTTTAAAAAATCAGCTGTAAGTTTTAAGGTATTTTTTTCATTAGATGGTTTTTTCTTAATAGAACAATGTCAGTATTGAAATAAAGGCCTACTTTTTTATACAGTGATACATTTGTTATATTATTGGATTAATTTGTGCTAGTTGGAATAATTGAACAGCAGGTATTATCCAAAATGATTTATTCAGAAGTCATGCTAATATATCAAATACATATTTTATAGGTTATTAAAAATAATTTGAATCCTGTCTGGAGACCGTTCAAAATCTCTCTCAACTCTTTGTGTTATGGCGACATGGACAAAGCAATCAAGGTAATATTGAAAGAAAGCAGAACTATCATTATAATTTGAAAGTATTTTGAACAAAGGTGTTTTAATTTAGAAACTTAACATAAATTTCTGTTCTGTAGCTTTATGAGGTATGAATGAATTTGTACGCTAAATAAAATTTCCTAATGCTATTCTGAAAATTAAAGAGATTCATAAATATGGCAGCAAAATACACTGGTGGATAGTAAATGATACGATATCAAACAAGCAAAATTTTATTGTAATAAATTACCAAAATATCATAGATAGATCTGATGTCAGGAGAATATGCGTCAGTTGACACAGAAGCTGCCTATTCAAGCCCTAGTTTGTCAACATCTATTTGTATGAAACTATATTAGACTAAAACTCTTACCAGCATCCAACCAGCAGGCCTCTTGGCCAATCTTCAGCTGATGAAAAAGCAACATATGGAAGGTGGAAAAAGATGGTCTAGTTCTTCTTTAGTGATACAACTGTAATTGAGTTTATGTAAGACTGTGTACCATGATTCATTTTTCTAAAATGCAATAAATCAGTAGTAGCTGGCTGGATTTTACAAACTGTTTTTAAAACAAGTTTTACATATTTTACATCAAATCTTGCTTCTATGCTTGTAGCTGAGCTGTCTGTAGGCCACATTTCTTTAATGGGATAATTAATTTAAACCTTCTTTTTCCTTTAATACTGTTTTGGAATTTAAACACCACCCTGATAGCCACAAGCAAAGGCTGCGTTCTCTAAAAGTGTTTGCAAAAATGTATTTCATGTGAACTTATCTCCAGGGCTGCTTAATGTGACATAGTTTGCTTCTCTCCATCTTCTTATACCTCACAGCCTTTTTTTTTTTAAAGAGAATGTGTGAAGCAATACTGAATCACGTAGCAATCCTGGCAGTACATTCCGCAATAGAAGAACACCATCTCATCTGCTCGCTCACATCTTTATTTCCTTGAATTCAAGAAGAGTTTTTCAGCTTATTAATATGGTTTTGTCTTGCCTTTGTTAGCTTTGATACTTTTTTGTTTATTCCAGATGTTGATGTTCCACTCTCTCTCTATTTTGACTTAAGGATTTCCATAGGAAAGGAAAAATAATGAAAATAGTAAAGGCCATATGTTTATAGTTTCATTCCTATCTGCAACTAGCATTTTAACACTTTAGGAGAATTACTCTTTCCATTTTCATTCTTGCATAATTAATAATACTATTCTTCAATGAGCCATTTTAATGCCAGTCTCTCATTTTGATGGAGCAAAATCAAATGTAGTGAATGTTTGATCTGATGTGTGATCAGGCTTGGGGTATAAACTTCCTTATTCAGTACATCTGACAAAATGGAAAAACTTTGATAGTTTCAGGAATTAAAAATCAGTCATAATGAACAAGACAGGGAAGTATGATCTTACAATAACTGAACAATGCTTTCATACTTTATGCACACGGTGTCGTACATATCTTCCTATTTCGTTGTAGTAAGTAAAATAACTTTTCTATTTCTTCCTGACAATACTGTCATTTTATGTGTTCAAATGGTTTGTTTCTCTATTCAATCATAATGCAGAAGCATCTCAGCTGAATACCTCATTAGTTATCTTCAATGTGTCTCTTTGTGTGTTGAAGCAGCAAGCATGAATTCTTTTTTTTCTATTATGAGTGGTATGAGTGGTTATAAAATCTATATTAAACATTACTTTGGATGAATATCTCAATGATTTGCATATTACTACAGTATGTTAATCATAAAATTCAGGAATGTCCATAAAATACATGTTGAATCATGGGTATTTGTAGTGTCTTCCACCCCTGACTTCAGCTTTATTCTGTGTGCTTTCATTATGTCAAAATCTGTTTCCACAAATCATCTGTGGTAATAGGAGTCTCTGCATGCTTTGCATTAAAGAGAATGTCTGTGCATGTATCTTAAGAACATTAAAAAAATGTATTTTTGGATATGTGCTGCATTGCAGTGTTTATATATTAGACGAAGTAACAGTAAACTCATCAAAAATGATAAATGCAGCAACTGAATTTCCTTAAAACTTAATTTTTAAAGCAGAGGTGCAAATACATGAGACTTGTAATGGCACATTAAGTAGTAGTGCATTACTACTACTGTTGCATTCAGGTTTTGATGGACTGTTTTTAAAAACAAAGTTGACGCTATCACAGTTATTGAATTTATAACTATTTTTGAGCAGCAGCGTAGTTTGATACTCTTAAATATCGTGATACCATGTACAATATTCTAGGCTCATGCTGTGTGCTTCATTTTAGGTTGAGTGCTATGACTACGACAATGATGGATCGCATGATCTCATAGGGACGTTTCAAGCTACAATGTCTAAATTGAAGGAAGCCTCTCGACATTCACCAGTTAGTTTATTTATACATCTTTATCATGTTAATTGAAATGAATGTGGAAGCAAATACTGCTGGTCCTTGGTGCTTTACTACAATAAAGAGATTGATTCAAAAGGGGAACCTATAAATGAAGTTATCCAAAATATATTATTGGAGAAAATGAAAACTGCTGTGCAGCATGACAGTATCCGCTTGCTTTCTGTTCCCTTTTCTCACAGGTTTGAGAGCAGTTATGACATTTAGCCCTGGACTGCTACTTCCCAAAAGTTTATTATTACTTTTAATAGTCTTGTGGTGTGGGCAGAATAGCAATAGCAATAGCACTTAGACTTAAATACTGCTTCACAGTGCTTTACAGCCCTCTCTAAGTGGTTTACAGAGTTAGCATATTGCCCTCAACAATCTGGGTCCTCCTTTTACCCACCTCAGAAGCATGGAAGGCTGAATCAATCTTGAGCTTGGTGAGATTCGATCTACCAAATATTAATATCAGCAATATTTTAATAACAGTCTAAAAATCAGTAAATGCAACATGTTGCACAGATTTGCTTCTTTTCTTCCTCAAGTTCAAACAAGTAGTTTTTTCACACAATCTGGCATAAATAATTATCAACTATGCTATCATGACTTATGATATAAAGTTCAGAAGTAGATTTTATTAGATTCAGATCTGAACAGGACTTAGACAAAGGTTGCCAAAAGTCATGTATGTGACAGCACGTTTCTGAGTAAACACACATGGGATCACAGTCTAAATACATGCCACTTTTACCCTTTTCTGTAGATTGAATTTGAATGCATCAATGAAAAGAAGAGGCAGAAAAAGAAAAGCTACAAGAACTCAGGGATTGTGAGCTTTAAACACTGTGAGGTCAGTGCTTTCAAAATATTGTGTTCATATTTATGTGGACAAATCCAGCTGCAGTAAGGGAAACAATAGTATTTGATTTAATGATTGTACTGGAAGAAAACATTGTTCCTTGCACTGTGACTAAATCCAACATTTTGATGCAGCTTCTGCAATTTTATGAGGTTAACAATTTGCAGTGTTTTATTCATGTATTAGATTTTTATCCTGCTTTTTAAAAAGAGCACAAAGTGTCTTTCCTCAAACACAAAGTGTCCCCCCCTCCCAACGTACAACGGTTCCACCACAAATGCGCGCACAACAAAAGCGCACCTGACTAAACCGCGGTGTCTAAAGCGCGGTGACAAAACCGTGCGACGAATGAGCGACGAATTAGCCCTAAAGCGCGCCGACAAAAGCGCGCCGACAGAAGCGCGCTGTAACGCAACCCTAAACCTAACCCTAAACCTAACCCTAAACCTAACCGTAAATCTTGCCTTAAATTAAATCGCGCTTCTGTCGGCGCGCTGTTGTCAGCACGCTTTTGACATCGCGGTTTTAGCGCCGCGGTGTTGTCAGCGCGCTTATGACGTTCGCGCTTTTGTCGGGTCACGACGTACAACTATTCTGATATCAGTTAGTCTGAAAAAGTTGTTTTGGTGCAGCCTTTGGCAGTAATCTGTTCTGACTTTTCCTTGAAGAACTGAATCTTCCTTGTTTAGCAGAGAGGAAAGATTGCAAACACAGCATTGCTTCAGCCACTGCACAGCTTTCCTTTTTTTGAAAAAGAAAAACGGTAGTTGAAGCTAGTGAAAGTTGTGCAATAACTGTAAAATGCTGTTCTGTTTCAAAGGGGTAAAAGGTACTCTGGAGCGCCTGTCTGCAGTCCCTTGGACCAAATGTCTTTTCTAAGGGATTATAAGAGTACAGTTGTGCTATCCCCCCCTCCCCCAAATCTGACTGTTTAAAACTGTTGCCAGCACATGTTATGTTTGTGTCCTCACATGCTCTGAAAGCAGCCTTGGCCTTACAAACAGAGACTCTGCAGTGCCTTAGTGACTCCTACTGCAACAGTACCAGACAGCACCAAGCATCAGATATCTTACTTGGATTTTTCATTTAGTCAATCCTTAATTTTCTGCAACTAGGACACTGCTGTCCCCACCTCACAATTCATCCCCATCCCCAATTTAAATGTAGAAAAGCCTGCCATGGTCCTGTTGGGACAAAACTATGTTGTGGAAAAAAAGCTGATTCCTTGCTTTATGTATATGACATTATACTACATGACTTTTCTATAGGTCATCACAGAATGTACTTTCCTTGACTACGTCATGGGAGGATGCCAGCTGAATTTTACTGTAAGTAAACTATAATTCCCCTGTCTTAAGTATTGGCAATAAACTGTCTTCATTTGAGAAAGACTGGATACATGCTTCCATGCCAGAACTATTCCATTAGTACTAAGGCACTGGCATTACAGAAGAGGATACAGGAGACATGATGTTCTATTTTCCTGCTGGGGGACAGGAGCCTTATGTTCAGTCCTTCTCTGTGCTTTTAAACATTGCTTTCTGCAGCATTGCTTTGGAATTCAGTTCCTATAACTTCCTGCGTCTGTGATTTTATCTTAATTGCCTTTAAAGAAGCTGAAGAAAGTGCAGTTTCTAATCTTCATACAGTTTGTAAACAAAAGCTGTTAATTCCGGAGAGTGGGGGGGGGGGAACCTTTCACATTTTCCCATACAAACTTAGCTTGTCCTGTTGATTGATATTACAACAAGCAACATGAAACAAAGTAATTTTTGTACATTATTATTATTGCTGTTGTTATTTTTATTATTACAGGTTGGTATTGATTTTACTGGGTCTAATGGAGATCCTCGTTCTTCAGACTCCTTACATTACATCAGCCCCAATGGAGTGAATGAATACTTGTCAGCCATTTGGTCTGTAGGAATGGTCATTCAGGATTATGATGCGTATGTGTTTTTACTGAATTGTTCTTAAACTGTTGAACATGATGAGTGTACTTGGATTATTCAACAAGCCAAAGCTTATTTTAAATATTTTAATTCATTGTTTGCATATTTTTAAAATTTCCCAACCTTGCTAATATCAATAAGATATTATTGTGGATTTTCAATATACACTTACATTAAATAATATGGCTAAGCTAAAACTAAATATTCTCACTGATGTATCTTCTCAGTGAAAAAAAGTATAAAGGGGGGGGGATGATGGCTTTCCAACAGTTGCTTAGGTAATTGTACTTTTGTATTATGAATATCCTCCTTGTAAAAGTTCTGTAATTTGTTCTAGGAGAGTTTTGTCCAATAGCAACCTTCCCTCTAAAACTTTCACTGTTTCCTTCCTTGTATTCTTGCACTAATACTCTCAAATGTATTCTCATATTCAAATACATCCTATTTATTTCAGTGTACTCATCAGCCCATCTAGATATTATTGAATCATCTTTCTTCTGTGAAGTATTAGATTTATAGATTTTATAGATTTATAGATTTTAT